ATATATATATATATATATATCGTGGAATGGATGGCGAATATAGGATCGTGCATCGCGTTATACCGCCTACGTACCGCGATAATATCCCCCTCTCTCGTATTCGATTTTGATCATAAATAATCTGAATATTCCGCTAAACCGCAACGACCGATAGAGCCAGCTTTTGCTTTATCATCCATTCGCTTATACGTGAGATAGCTTTAATCGACAATAGATTCTGCGCTCGACCAAATTTCTTCTGTATCGTCATTTGCTTGAAAGATTTTCGTGCAATGTCCCAATCGGAAATTTGTGAATAGGAGCGTGATTTATTTTTTTGCGTTTTTTTTTTCGTGTTGTGCTGTCTCGAGATTTGATGGTCGTTGCACATAGCGATGACAGATTGCATTCTTCTTTTATGGTTCATTTGCACATAAAGAGTCTTTCATCTGTAATTCGCGATGAATGACTCCGATATTGACGTTCGTTTCGACTAGATAGTGAGTTTGCGATATCTAGCGTTGAGTGCAAAGTTGAAGCATTTTCCGGCTATTGTTTGCTTTTCTGCTTTAATCGTTCATTTGTAAAGCTCGCACTTGACATTCCATCTGGAATATAAGGGTTAGAAACTCCGTGGCGTAATCGCCTTGAAAATGACGCCGTTGGTTACATTGCGTCGCGTCACGATGTTATACAGGATTTTTCAAACATCGTTTTACATATCACCATTTTTTCATCAAATAAAAACGGTATCATCTGAATTTCTATCATCTGCTTGAATTGGAGGAAAAAGAATTAAATATAATTTAATATCGATTTTAATAGTTTCTCATAGAAAATGCGATTGATTTTTAAGATGCAGGAAATAAAAATTATGTGAATTTTAATTATTTTTCATTATTGTAGCAGACTATACAATTATTATTAATAATAATTATTAGCAATTGTATAGTCTACTACAATAATTAAAAATAATTAAAATTAACTTAATTTTTCTTTTCTGTATATAGCATCTTACATGATCAATTGCACTTTCTATGGAAATTTATTAAAATCAATATTAAATTATATATAATTTTTTTAATAATATACTACATAAAAAAACGAATGTATAAAAGATATATGTTACATTATTACGTTATTATAAAAGTAGTCGAAATATTCTAAGAACACAGTCCGATTCAGTCGCAATTAATTTCCTTGTGGAATATACGTTTCATTGAAACATTTTAGGCGAGATTTTTAGGATGTATTTATTATTAGCTTAATAATGTAAATATCTTTCGTTCTCATAATCAATTTCCAAACTGGCATTTGAAGCGAGCTGTACAATCACTGTTATTATTTGCAGCCACATGCCTCTCGTGTTGTACGTGCATGAGGCAAACGTAGAACCCCATGCGTCTCCAAGTTTATTTTATGCTTACTACGCTTGAGCCTGCCTCAACACTACCTTCTCTCGTTGCTCCTATACCTCTCTTTGCCGTCCGTATAATGAAACGGTAATTCTTTGTCGCACGTGGCTGATTCTTTTACGAAGATGACGTTAGTAGTACCTCGAGAGTATCGTTTAAACCGCCGAGGAACATGCCTACGATACGTCCAGTGCTTGGGTGCAACATTACATTTTATTTACTACTTATTAAAATGTAATTCTATGTCATGGATACTCGTATAATTGTATATTCAACTTGTGAATATACAACAAGTGTTAGATGATTCTACTTTGGTGTTAAGAAACTTTTAAGACTATTTTTGCATCATATTGACTGGCGTTATAATGATATTGTTCCACATTTCAGTTTATCGTTTTATGTCTCGCGCGTAGAATGTACGACGACATAAAAATGCATCTACGAAAATGATATCGATCAGTGACATTTGCCGCGGTACAAGGTTAAAAGGCCATTGTGAAAATGCCAGTATCGGCGAAGGAAGCATTAACGAGAAGCCGGCGGATTAATTGCGGACGAGGGAGTGAGAAACGCGGTATCTTGTTCGTGAAATTTCCTTTTATATTTTTCGGCGTTCGGTCGAAGTTAATGGGAGCTTGGGATACAGGGACACCGTTGACGTCATTCAGAGTGCTACGTTTACCACTACAACGTTAATCGAACCGCATCTCGCGATGCACTATGATGACTTTTCTCGAGTTAGTCGATAGCTTCTCTAGTAACATGAAAATAGGACGGGAAATTAGCTGCGGTTTCTAAATTCTATTCGACGCATGTCACGGATATCGATAGTGAGCGTAGGTTGGGACACTGACGGATTTGTCGAGCATCCGTAACGAAAATACGCAAGAAGCTTAGCGCAAGAAGGTCGCAATCGGGATCGGATTCTTTGCACGAAACAGTATTAAAAAGAACATAAACTCCATGCGCGTCAGCTACATAAATTAAAAATTTCTCGCGATCAAATATTTTGTTGTAACGCGAAAACGGATCTACGCTTCTACGACTCCAACGACGCTATTTATTTCACTGCTCCGTCGAGTTCATCGCAATTTCACTCGACGCGACGTATGTATACCGAATCGAATACAAGTATTACATGTATAACGTAACTATGTAATAGGTGCGTTTAGCAGAAAAAATAACTTTGCAACTGTTATAAAATTCTTTAACATGATTAGTTTATAGCTCTTGTTCCTTACTGAATCTAAATGAATAAACCAATCATGTTAAAGAATTTTACAACAGTTACAAAGCTGCTTTTTTTGCTGAACGCAACTTTTGACCAACCCAATGATTGTCACTTGCGATCGCCAGCGATCGATCGAGGTATTATGTGTTGCATAATGTTCGATGTAATGAATGTAATGAATGTGTATATATACATAAGATACAGTACGGTGGTTGGCGGCGCGATTCGGTTATGTCGGCGACACGACGATTTTGTTTTTCCGCCAAAACGGGACGATCGTAGAAATGGATTTTTGCGTGGTCGCGTCCCAGACTACTGTCTACTTACGTAGGTAGATATAGAGTCAGCAACGCCCACGTTGTCGCCGGGCTGCTGCTGCTACTGCTACTGCTGCTGCTGTTACCGGCGAGGGTGGTCGCCGCCACCGTGCGAAAATGTCAGACTAGCCGGCTGATACGTTACACCCACGCGTTGGAAAGTGGGGCAAAGTCGATTCATTCATCCACTGATTCATAAGTGTGGGCGTAAAAGCGTAAGGGTTGCGCGGGGCCGCTGGCGCACCCCCATCCTCCTTCGTTTTGTGTACAACGGAGATCCTTCCCCCTATCACGAACGAGATAAAACGTTAAGACCCCTTCAAGATGTCCCCTTACCCGCGTCCACCACCGTCACCAACTACGTCTTCCGCGACTTAGCGAGCTTTCAAGCTCTTCCCGACTTATGTTCTCGGGAGTGAAAACGTGTCGTGTATCGCAACGAGTTTATTCCCGCGAGAATACCATCGTGTGTTCAGAGAATTATATAAATTGCTGTGAGAGTATACTTAATTATGTGATAAACCAATACAGGATGTCGGCTTTTCTGTACGTGTTATTGCTTAGGTAAGTTTCCGCATATGAAAGATTTTGCTTTCGAAAATGTTTTATGCTTACTGCAACTTGGTAAAACGAAATACGATTGCACCAGCATACGCAATTTTGAAATAGTGTATGTATATATATATATATATATATATATATATATATAAACGTGTGTGTTTTAGTATATAATTACAAATAAAAGTACATATAGTAACGGAGATTTAAACATTAACATTTGTAGATTATACATTAAATTGTTAAAAATATTTTTTTATACATTTTCTTATTTTATAAAATTATAATTTTACAAAATTCTCTTTTATCATATTACTGTATTTTAATATGTATCGTGCAATAATTCAAAATTTTATGTTAATATAGTGCTA